CTAGGAAAAATAAAGTCACATCTTTGGATTTTTTAAAAATTGCACCTTATAGAGATTTACCCAGAAATTTTCACCTAAAATCTTAGCATTTCAGATCTTAACAATTAACTCTTTTCCCAGGCTAGGTAGTTGGGGTATAACTCTTGAAAGAGAAATGGTAAATCTGGAGATAATGCCTTGTCAGTGGGGGCATTACCAGTAACTTAGCAAAAGGAGAAAATTAGGTTTGAAAAATATAATGGCTATGAAACGTCATTAGCAGAAACAGCTTAAAAGCACTGTAATGCTAAACCTCAACCATCTCAGCTGAGAAATGCCACCTTTGCAGACTCTGTGATCTCATGTTCTCCCTTATTATAGTGAAGTGGCATTTTGATTACAGCAGAGAGAAATGGTGCTTGGAAATCAGATTTGAGAGGACATCATATTCTCCCAGGAGTATTTTTTGTAGATGGTGCTTATTTGATTTTGATTTCAGAGCTGTTTTGTGGCACATCTCATTTTCAGATATTGTTGCTAAAAACTCATGTGAATGTAATAAAGAATTTTAAAATGAACTGATAACATCGGAGACCAACAGAGAAACCCCAAAGGAAAAGAACTAATGGTGACAGAAGAGAAAAGAGAGCCTGTCTGCCCATGAAACACTAGCTGTTTTTTGGGGGTTTGTTGTGCTACAGAATCCTCATGAACCAACACATTCATGACACAAAAAAGCACTGAACGTGGAGGCTGGACAACAGTTCAAGTTCTTGCTCTGCCAGCAGCTATTTGACCTTAACCAGGCCCCTAGTCCTGCTGGGCCTCCATTTCCGCAATAAGTAAGAGGAGAGCGAAGACTCTTCAACTCAAAAATCCTGTGATCTGTGATGTGATTTATGTGACTAAACTCTCTGCACGTGAATAAAGTTATTCAAGCAACAGAGCTGAGCTTTCCTACGGTGAAGGCTGGCTTGCCTTGGCCTTCTTCCGGTTTGCCCTCACCTGCTTCCGGTTTGCCTTCCCCTGGGTCTGGCATACACTCCCCCTTCCTCCTTGGCAACCCATAGATCCTGACTTTTGGACGGTCAGCCCTGTTTCCTCATCTATAAAATGTTATCTAGTATATCTTCATTAAGTTGGCCTCCTCCCACCTTCCACTTCCCCCCGTTTTCCTCATAACATATAAATATTTCAGAGATTCTCTTCTTTGAGAAAAACTTGAAAGGAAAAAAACCCACAGAGATGGAAGGGGAACTCATAGAGAAGGGGCTTAGAAGAGATCCCAGCCAATCACAGTGTGTTAGCCTCTTTTGGATTCAAACAAGCAGATTTGAAAAAAATTAAAAAGACATTTCTGAGACAATTGGAAATTGGAACACTTAGTAGATATTGGATCTTAAGAAATGATCATTAACTATTTTAGCCATCATAATGGTGTTATAGTTATGTTCTTGAAAGAATCCTTATTTTTTAGAGGCAAATATTGAAATATTTGCAGATAAAATGATCTCACATTGGGGGGCAGTTAGTGAGTGGTGACACAGATGGAACAAGTTTGGCCGTGAATGGACAATTAGAGAAACTGAATGATGGGTACATGGGAGTTAATTATAAGATTTGGTCCACTTTTGTATAAGTTTTATAGTTTCCATAAGAAAAAAAAAAGAAAAAAAAAGCTTAATGGGGATTCATCCTAAGGAGGCATATTTGCTGAGGTGTTGGGAAGGGCTGCTTGTCATAGTTGCATAATGGTTGGGGGTAAATATGGAAGTTCATCAACCAGAAATGCTATAGTGAGGAGCTGGCTGGCAAAGGGCCCAGCTCTGTGTAGCTGTCATCTAGCCTCCAGGCCAATTTGCCCTCTATAAATAACAACCTATATGAATGCTTTACTATTTTAATGCACACTTGCCACAGCTGCTCTGCATGTTTGTTTACGTAGCTGTGAACCCTGCTGTAAACATCACTATCTCAAAATTGCCCATGTGTCAGGAACATAAAGGGCCCCCTTTAAAAATATATTTGTGGGATGAGACACGGCCAGTCCCCAGATGTCTGGGTGGCTGGTGTCAGAATTTTCCAGGGTTTGATTCACTTTCAAAAATAGAATCACATGACTGGAAGGTTCTTGAGAGGTCACACATTCCCTAACTCTGGGCAGGACCAGAGTGAAGCTGTCCATCAAGACAGCTGTCTTTTGTGGGTGTGGGTCTCTCTTTTATGAGGCCAGAGAACCTATGGAGTGAAGGACTGGGACCAGGACCCTCAGGACATCAAAGGTGGGCAAGACTCACATCTGGCCTTCAAGGAGCTTACATGCATTTTTCTAAAGATGCACCTGACCCTGAGTAACATGACTGGGCACAGCTGGGGCTGGACCATGATGTGTCGCTCTGCTGGCCAGTGCGGGGCCTGAGCGCCCAGCAGGCTGCAGGACCCGCATGGTCAGCTGCCGCACGAGAGCTCGGATCTCCAGAAAACATGTCAGAGTCATCGTGTGCTCGCGATGTGTGTGACAGGAAGGTGGCGTCGCAGGGGTGGCGGTGAGGGGCTCATCCTTGAAAGAGGTTCCCCTAATTGAGATCAGTGAGAGTTATTTAAGGTCAACCACGACATTTTTGAAAGAAGAGTGAGTAAAACAAGTCGTTTTGGGTCGGCTTGCTGTTTTCATGGCTTCTGATTACCCATCTAGCCCTATGATGAATAATTAGGTCCTGGTAAATTTGCTTTTCTCAGTGTGCATTTGGTCCACATTTATTTTTTTCCTGTGACTTTAATTCACTGAAGCATTTCCCCCTCCAAGGGTCTGCTTAATTCCTGTAAATCCCAACTATGCTTTTCATTCACAAAGGAAAAATCCTCCCCCTGAAGTTCAAGAGACCAAACGTGCTAGAAAGACTGAACTGTATGAATCCTTTCAGGAAAGTATCAAGATGTGTCCAGCTTCTAGACGAACCCAGAACTTTCTAGAGCCCTCCTCTCTCCACTTTGCAGAAAATTATTATTTTAAGAAAGTTAACAGTGGTTGCCTTTTCCCAGGAATGGGGGTGTTTTGATTCTTTTTGCTGGCAAATTCCCAGTTTTCTCTAAGAAAGCAGTAGAAAGGCCACTGAACGCTCAGAGGCAAGTATCACTGTTAATTACCAACAAAACGATGCTCCTCTCATCGGAAAGCCTCACTCATTACAAGCTGTCATCAGAGAGACAGGGTCTGCCCCAGGGAGGATTCCGACTTAGGGACATCGCAAAGAAAATTTGCTGATTTTGGATTTGTCTATTTTTTCAAGACGGGACAGCTTTGCAGTTTGAAGCTCAGATTAGCACCAGTAACCAGAGGGCACATCTCCAGTGGCTTTTGCTTCTTGTGCTCAGAGATGGGAGATAACAAGGCTTGTCCACTGCCCTCCTTCCTGTCCTATCGGGAGAGTTTGTAGTGAGGAATCGAATAGTAAAACCGCGTCACCAGTGGTCAGTTTATGCTGCCAGAGGCTGTACCTCAGTGGCCACCACTAGGGGGATCCAGAGTCCCTGTGCTCAGCCAAGGTGGGAGAAATTTCTGGTCAGTGGGAAAATGACAAAGCTCCCTGTGTGATTCATTTTTTTTTACCCCCGCTGGGCCTCCTCTCCTCTCCTTCCTCCTCCCACACACTTACCGCATCACGAGTACACCCCACAGTCAGGTTCAGGGTGCAGATAGCTCTGTTCACGTATGCAGCATTTGTTTAGAATTTCACAGTAATTATTTTGTTTTCCATGTTCTTTTGGTTTTAGGCAAAGGAGCACACTCATATCACTGAGCTCCATGCAAAGCTTTCTACTCACATTTTCATTGTTGGTTGCATTTAAAAAAACCTATTGCAAAGGTTTTTACCACCATGAGAGAAATTTGTTAGGAGTAATGACCTTGCCAGTTGGGTCCTGGGGGGCAGAGACATGGAACTAATGACTTTCCTTTGATGGATGACTGAGATCAGGTGATGGGTGGATGAAGAATGTGGGGTCCAGCTGGTGGCCATGCATTTTCAGATTATGTAAACCATCCCTGAGCCTCCAGTTGAAGACCTCAGAGCACAGAAGGCAGGTCATATAACTAAAGAGGATTCTGAGGCCAATATTGGTAACACAGAAGAATAGTAAAGCAGTGGGTGGACTGGTGTTCTAGCTCATTCATTCCCTGTGGGGTACTATCGTTAGCTTCAGTCAGAGTTCATGGCTCTATTTTGTGGAAAGTTGCAGATAAATATGGGCAGAACCTGCTTTGCTGTTGGGATGTGTAACATGTGTGAGGTTAAGACATGAGTGAAGATGTCATTAAAAACAGATCATCTCTCTATTTTGGAGAACAGATCATCTTTGTTAAAACACTCCAATGGTTAGCTCTCCATAGCAGAAGCATCGATAGGGTTATGAGAAGGGGATCTCATTGTTTTTCCTTTCTTGCTTGAGTTATATGCTGGGTCTGTGTTATCTTGTCTACTGGCGGTTTAGCGGGTAGAGTATGGTAAGACACCACACGCTCACTTGATATAAAAGGAAAACCAATGCTATGGGTTTTTCTTGCAAATAGCTTCCAAAGAAGGGGAGAAATTGCATTTTTATTAAAGCAGTTTGTCAGGCTTCCTCTGAAAGGCTTAACTTCTTCCTCCTGGCTTGGCAATAAATAACCTCAAGTATTTAAATTAAACAATGTTTTAAAAACTGCTTAAAAAGTGCTTTAGAGACAGGTCAAATTTTAATTTAAGTAAATACTTCAAAATTTAAACTATATTAAGAGGTGTTTGTCTAAAAAAATGTTTATCAATTTATTTTCCAAAGGACTTTGAAAACCTAAATGGTTAGACTTCTTGGTGGATACACTTAAGGCTACAGGACCAGTGGCATCCTAGTTCATGACCAAGGAGGCAGTGTCAGTAGTGAGTGAGGTTCAGTTTTCTGTATTTTGTCGTAAACAAGAACGTGAGGTCCAGTTTAAAATAAGCATGGATCCCACAGATAGCCCAGCACGGAACACGCCTTACCTGTAGCTTCCACCATTCCTTCTAGGATGACCACAATTTCCAGTTCCTCTTTGGGCAGCTGGGCTTTGGAGATCTCCCAGAAAGGACTCTGCTGGTTAATTTCGTGGCTGATGATGAGTGGTGACACCAGAAACAGACGGTCATCCCCAGTGTAATACCCTACGTTGATATCTGTCTGATTCAAGGGTATGAACTCCCCCTCGGAGGTCTGTTTGGATTTGATCAACTTGGCTCTGATGGAAGCCTCCACGATGTGGGAATTCCTCAGATCTCCGACTCGAAACATCAGGCATAGTTTCCCATCCCGCATGGAGATCACTGCATGGGTGGAAAAAACCAGGGTCTCTGCCCTCTTCTTGGGTTGCGATATTTTTACAAACATGCATCCCACCATGAATGCGTTGACTATGGACCCCAACACAGACTGGATTAAGAGGAGAATAATTCCCTCCGGGCACTTGTCCGTGATGACCCGGTAGCCATAGCCGATGGTGGTTTCTGTCTCTATGGAGAATAAAAAAGCAGAGACGAACCCGTTGAGGTTGGTGACGCAGGGAGTCCACGAAGGGTCCTCTATGTGGTCCATATCTCCTCGGATGTATGCAATTAGCCACCAGATCATCCCAAAAAAGAGCCACGTCACCGTGTAAACCATGACGAAAATCAACAGGTTGAACCTCCACTTGAGGTCTACTAAGGTGGTGAAGATGTCGGTCAGGTAGCGATAGGTCTCCCTCACGTTGCCGTGGTGGACGTTGCACTTCCCATCTTTCCGCACGTACCTCTGGATTTTCCTTTTGGTCCGGTCCCGGCTGATGTGTCTTGGCAGGTCATCCCTGGCCTGCTTAGGCAACTTTGGCTGGTGAATGGTCACAGGGCTCTCAACATCCTGGTCCATGGAGTCGCCCTCCAGGACGTTAGCTGGTAGTTTGGAGAAAAGAAAAGAAAAACGGAATGAAATGCTGGCTTTTTGGGGATCATGGAATCCCCACTGTGTATGATATGGTAGGAAAACAAATACCATTTGTGTACCTATTAACAGAGTAGATGAAGCTTTTTTTTTTTTTTTTTGGCATCATCTGGACAGGCTGCCTTGGACCTCTGTGTTCTGAGCTCTAGCCTGTGTAAGGCTTCACTGCCCTTCCCGCCAGGACAGAGCTTACTGCTGTGAAGCTGCCTCCCTGCCAGCAAGTCCTAAGAACCAGTCTGTACAGCGGGATGCCTGCCCGTTCTACCTGAGATGCTGTGGCATGGGAAAGGCAGCACTCTCTGGATAAAGAAATGGTTAGATTCAGACAGTTTTGGTTCTGCCACTTAGCCATTGTGGGCTCTCAGACAGGCTGCCTCTTACGGACTGAACCGTATACCCCCCAAATCCATATGCTGAAGTCTTAACCCCACTATGTGACATTTTTGGAAATGGAGACTTGAAGGACGAAATTAAGGTGAAGTGAGGTCATAAGGGTGGAGCCTTAATTCAACAGGGCTGGTGTTCTTATAAGAAGAGGAAGGGACAGCAGGGGTGAGCCTGCAGAGGAAAGGCAGGGAGAGAGGTCTTCCAGACCTTCCAGAGGTCACCAGAAGCCAGCCCTGCTGGCACCTTGATCTTAAACTTGCAGCCCCCAGAACTGTGAGAAAATAAAGCACTGTTGTTTAAGTCCCCTGGTGTCTGGTATTCTGCTGTGAGTGAAAAATATTGCCTAACACGTCAGTAAACAAAGGGTGTTGCAGCCATCAAGACAGCACATCTGGCCAGACTGTGAGCCCTGAGGGAACTCGGGATGGAGAAAGATGCACTGCCAGGCGCGAAGCCCTCAGCCTCTGCAGCCACCCCCAGTGGCGCTTCCAGAGTGGACTCGGGATGAGAAAGAAGGGGACATTGGCCCTAGACAGCTAAGGTGTATAGCAAAGGAATGATTTCAATGTGCCTGGAGTCTTGCATCTTCCCAGACACATAAAAGGGCTAAATTTCTTAACTTGAGATGTCTGGTTTTCTTTAATTAACAGTAATCTTCTGATGTTCTGACTACCTGGTCTTCGTTGCAAAGAATCCTATAGATTCTAGCTCCTCCCTTAACTCTTCAAGCAGTCCCTTTAGAGCTATCTGAGAGGCTATCTCCTGGGTTTGAAATCTTCAGAAAATCCGCCAAATAAAACACAATTCTCATATTTTAGGGTGTGCATTTTTTTCAGTCGACCCTGTTATGGCAGGCTGAGTAGACTAATACAGTATATGAATTCATAGATCTCCAGTTTCCACATTTACAAAATGGTAATCATGATAGCCAATTCACAGGGTTTTATAAAGTTAAACAAAACCACACACATGATGTGTACCTGCCTGGAACAGGCATGTAATAAACATTCCTTTGTAATAAATGGTTCCTTGCTCCTGTCTGTAAACTTAGGGGTAAGAATTCTGAGTGAGCTCGTTAAGTTGTCAGTTAAATTTCAGAGTTAAAAAATCATGGTTTTTATTGATAGGTACGCATGCATTAGACCCTAATACTTGATTCAATGCCAAGGTTAAAAAAAAGTGTGGGGGAAATGTTCTTTCTCTTTCTATGTGTTTACACATTTGATTTGGTTTCTGCCTCATCATTTAACATTTGCGGTTTTGACTTATGGTTATTTTCTTTCTGATGGCTTTCATGATTAATGCAAAGCACTAAGAAAACTCTCCCAGAATCTGAGTGCAAAGGGACATTTGGAACAGATACTGTTCTGAAACACCTATAAAACACCGTACGAAATTCCTCAGTCAATAATTTTGAAGCTTTCTATAAGTTGTACAGGAAGTTTCTTCCCCCAGGCTTTCATCCTGTGTCCTTGGACTTAGCTGTGCATTTCCCCCCACCCCCTTGGTTAAAGGAGAAACACAGTCTGTTGAGAAAACATTTACCTGAATAAGAAGACAGCTGGGGATGGGGCTTGAGTGATACCAACTTTATGGATTAACCCTGCTCTTGGTTGGATAGTTTCCTTAATCATCAGTCCCACAGACTTGTTTTTATATTTCAGCACAAAGAAGAGGCAGCATCTGGTCTGAGAGCCTGATATCTGATGTGACAGCTTTGACTTTTAGACTACCCTCAGTAGCCCTCCTTTACAAATGTGTGTGTGTGTGTGTTTCCTTCTTTTTTTCTTTTTCTTGGAATAGATACCAGGACAGGAGTCAAAGGAGGCAGCTGAGGTTATGATAGGATGGGAGGAGTGTGGGGGATCTGGATGGAGGTCACGGGTGATGTTTATGCTCACCGCTAGCACCCCCCTGCAAGATGGGGTGTTTGAACGATTAATGAGCGAGTGGAGAGAGATAAGTGCTCTGGGCAGTCCTGGGAGCCTGCCAGTTCATCCTCCAAAGGCGTTTTTTGTTTTCCTAGCTCAGGACTGGGCCACATTTCCCGGCATCCTTTGCATTGAGGGGCAGCCACGAGCCAAGTTCTGGCCCATCTGGAGCGCGTGTGCCCTTCTGAGCTGAGGCCTTCAGTATTGGATATGCCTCCTCCCATGACTTGCTCCTACTACAGGGGATGACGGAGTCACGAGATGGAGGGGCCTGGGCCCCAAGCTGGTGGCAGAGAGCTGCCATCCAACTAGAAACAAGAAAAAATAATGTTTGAGCAGTTATGTATTTTGTGTCTATTATCAAATAGAGCCTTATCTCTCATTTTACGGGGAGTCATACCCACATGGGTGAGCAGACAGAAGCATTCTCAGGGGGCTAGTGTGGGAAAGAGCAAGGAGAAAGGAAGAAAGTAAAGATGGGGTGTTTGGGTTTGGTGTTAAAAAGAAGTAAGGGTCCCAAGATGGAGTCACTTGTGCTAAGCGCTACGTTCACCAACCCAGACTGAATACTTATTCTAATTACACTTTCAGTCTCCCTCCCAGGAATGTGACCTTGAACCAGCCAGTCTGGAATTTCCTGGCCGCTGGTGAGGTAATCCACCCCAGAGACCCCTGTCTTGCTGATCCAGCCCGAACAGTCCTTTCTTGGTTATGACTTCTGTCCCTTCCGCTTTAGGCCTTTAAAATCCTTCCATTTTGTATAGTTCTTCTCCTGTCTGCTTGCTAGATGGGAAGCTGCCTGATTCATGAATCGTTGAATAAAGCCAGTTTGATCTTCAAATGTACTCCCTTGAATTTGGTTTTTTAACAGTGTCTATAATGAACTAGCATGTCGTTAATCAAATGCCTGTGTTTTGTGTTGGGGGAAAAAAAAGTCAAGGCATATGCTACTTCAGTGCCTTTTTAAAAAACAAACAAAAGTGAAAGCAAACAGAGCCAAATCTCCCTGAGAGTGTGGGGGAAAGGTGGCCTCGGGGGCGCCCCTGCAAGTGGCGCAGTGGGTGCAGGTGTGGCGCAAAGTGGACCTTTCGCTTTATAGTGGCTGGTGGAGAACCGGCACAGAGCTGAGAAACCCTGAATCCATAGAAATGAGAGAGGCCCTGGAGAGCAGGGGGAACTGAAGTAGGAGTTGCAAGGGGCAGGAGAGGCGAAGCCAGCGAGGAGGAGGGTGGCGTGGAGTGGGCAGAAGGCTGGGGGCGCAGCCTCCAGGCCTTGTCCAGAGCACGCAGGGAGCCCCGGACCAGAGAGGGCCATTCCAGGCCTGAGCTGAGAGCTGCCTCAGCACCCGTGGGCACGAATGCAAAGGCTCGCAGGGAGCTACAGAAGTGGATGTTAATGAGAGCTCTTAACGTTTCTTTCTTTCTTGGAATCCCAGGTGTGAATTTGAGGGGGTGATGTGAACTGCATTTGCCAGAGCACTGGAGCTGCTCAGCAGGGCCAGAGGCAGCTGCAGTGGGGAAAGCAGGCATTCCTCCCCGCGTTCCTGCACGGCCCAGGACACAAACCCCTTCTCCCCCGCCTTGGGCCCCAGCACCTGTCCAGAGCTCGCCGGGGCCCCCAGCCGTGCGCATGCACTTCGGACTCCAAGTCAGAACCCGCGCCCTGGTCCTTCAGCCTCGTGCACGTGGCTTGACCAGAGATAATGTGGAGGGGATAGCTGCTAACTGTGAAGTGCTGCACAGCATGCAAAAGGACGGGAGGAGCGGCACCAGGGAGCTTGATGATTTACTTGACTTGAGTTATTTTCCTGTATTTTGGTTTAGAGTAAATGTGGGTCTGTGGGAAAAAGCCAGTCCCCCCCGCCCCCCGCCTTTTGTTCTTTCTCTCTCTCTCTCTTTCAGGAAGACGATCAACTTACATAAAACTAGCTAAGGTGCAAAATAGCCTGGTGCTGAAACATTCACCTGAAAGAAAGAACGCGTGACTGAGCTACAAGCTGGAAGGACCTGATCCCAGCAGCCCGTAGAATTTCTCGGGCACCGTTTGTGGAGGGAAGGCTGCCGTGGTGACCCAGGCTGGCATGGATGTTCCGCTGATGGGACATTCTACATTTCAGATTATATGCGAATTCTGGGGGTGGGGGAAGAGCACTTCCAGAATTTTTAGTGTTTTTGGGGAAAACCCAACAGAAAAACAGGATGAATCTCAAGCGCACATTCAGAATCAAAGAGTGGAAGGAAACACACAGAGATGTTAATAGGAAACTTCTCAGAGGGGGGCTGTGGGCGATTTTAATACTCCTTTTAAACATTCTGATTTCCCCAAATTTTCTAGAATGACTTTGTATGACTTCCCCATCCCATATACCTGGCAACTTAGAAACCGAGACAGTTGCTTCACCTGAATCCAAGGAAACCGTTAAGTAAAGCCCACGGGGTGATTTTAGGGGGAGGAGCCTGGGTGTCCGAGACCACTAAGAGGGCTGTGGATTAGAGGTAAGGTCTACACACTTCTTCTGCAAAGAGCCAATAATAAATATTTCAGACTTTGCAGGCAACATAGGTCTCTGTTGCATACTCTTTTTTGACTTTAAACAATGCTTTAAAAATGTAAAATTATTCTTTGGCTCATGG